TGTGTATATGTATATGTATGTATATGTATATGTGTATATGTATATGTGTATATATATATGTATATGTATATATATATATATGTATATGTATATATATGTATGTATGTCAGTCACCCACTGACATGGACAGTTGTCCACAGCTCACGTCCATACAAGTGAACTTCAGGCACACACACACACACACACACACACACACACACACACACACACACACTGCTTTGTAACCTTCTTCATGCTCTGAGTGCAGCTTAACAGGGCCCCGAGTACAGATCTGAGCACATTTACATTTTTGAAGGCTGTTAGAAACAGCTTTATGCTGATGGTGATACATTTTATTTTTTGTAGTTTTTAGCATGACAGGCACTGGCTCATGAAGCAACCTTTAATATGATTCTAACGCCAGTATCAGAAACGGAAGTATTATTCTCATCCTGTATTTTTACCTGAAAGAAATGAATTATTTCTACAATCTTTCACAAAGCTCACAAATGTTGCTGCTGTGTTTGCTGTATTTACCTATCATGTACAGAAGTTCCTCTCAAATTGAAAGGGGCTTTAAGAACAAAAGTGTACATACAAAGTAAAGATCTATCTGTTATGGCGCTGCTCATGCAGTGTTGCGCCCCCTGCTGTCTGTAAAAAAACGATCCTTACTGCTGCCACTGCAGTCCAGAGTAGAAGAGTAACATTTAGCTTCAAACGTTGTGGTTCAATCTTCTTTACATTTTGCTTCTTAGAGATGCTGATGAGATGCTGACTCATGATGAATGAGTCTTAAACAATACCAGGAACAGAGCACAACATGGAAGTGAAAGCAGTGTTCTGTTTGTTAAAAGGGGAAAGTGTAATACAATATTATGGTCCTGGAATCAATAAATAATTGTGATGAATAACCTTGATCTCAATATTGATCAAAATATTCTTGATTATCATTTTGGCCACAATCGTGCAGAAAAACAAAGACTGAAACTAAAACATAACTTTAGAACAAAGGTGTCCCCACAATAATCAAAGTAATCCTTTCTGTGTTACCCCGGCTGTTTAACAGCTCATTAGCCTGTTCTGCTACATAAGTATGAATTATGTTTGGCCAATGGGACATGTCCTCAAACAAAGCCTCTCATTCTCAGCACATTACTTCATAATAGGTGTGACATTATTAAAACGCCTTAATTGCATAGCTGCTTTATTAGATTGTAGGAGATATTCCAGGTGTTTGTGATGTTGATATCAACCCATTTTATTTTTCATTAAATACAGTTGCATTGATGTGGACGTGAGGAAATGCTGTAATCAAATTCACTGGTGACGCATCCCCTCGTTTCCCTGTTGTCAGTGCTATAATAAAATGAATGGACTTATTGATCATGTTGGATACAGGGTGAGCATGAGGTGATTATGCGGTTCTCTATTTGTTTTCACATTGTGCCGTGTTTTGCATGTGTTTCAGGTGATCTACACCTCATTCGGAGGCTCGTCCAAAGGGCTGCACTTCAACAATCTGATCGTGGGTCTGGTGCTTCTGACCAGAGGACGCGATGAGGAGAAGGCCAAGTGTAAGTTGTTCCTGATGAGTAAACAGGAAGTCTGTGTTGGTAATATACACTTGTTTTTTTGTTGTTCTCCTAAACGTCGCAGTGTATAGATGTTTCCAACCACCCATGACCATAAACTACAAATACCATATTTCATATCATTGTCAGAAAATGGGTTTACAGCAAATGCTGTAGTTGGTCTTACTCAGTAAGTGTTCTGAAGTATACAGTTACAGTGTGAGTCCTCCCTTCTGTATATGTAGTGCAAGTGTTGATGAAAGGAATGGTTTGGGTATTGAGGTTATATGTACTGATCCATAGACTTCTAGATTTGCAGCAGTTTGGAGAAGCAGACAGGACTTACTGCATGGAAGCAAAGCGTTGTACTGCTGTGGACAAAACGTAAGGTAGCCGACTAAAAGAAAGGCTCACATAAAGAAATCAATCTCAGTTCAAGTGTGCTCTATATTGACTACGTTATCTATGATCTCTTCAAAGCCACAAGACTCATTTGACAAAAATGTCACCTCACTGAACAGGGAAGTTGTTTAGTCTGTTTGTGTTATTGTGGGACTTTTGGGTTTTGAAAGTTTAGTTTAGTTTGAATCGAGGCAACGGTAGACCAGCAACTATCGTGTTCTGTGAGGTTACAATTACTGGTTTTGTCAACAGAGACCTGTGGCTCTGAAGACAGTATAGATGGATACATAGGCTTCAGTTCAGAAAGGGCTGTCTGACAGCAAGATGAAGTGGTGAAAATATTTAGAATATATAGTGTACACTAAAAGTAACTGTTGGTGGCTGAAATACATTTTGCTGCCCCGATCCACAGCAGTACATTGAAGCCCCCAGGAGGAGCGCCAGGCTTTGAAGCTAATTTGACATAGTGGTCAAACGGTGCCATGAGGCCCAAAAAGACTTTTTCCATAGACTTACATTTGGCAAGAGATGTCTGTACCTCAGTGTATAATTTATTTTTAGAACTTCCCAGTACAAACATTTGACTAGCCCTTATTTTAATTGTTTGGTCTTAAAAGTTGTAAAATACACTAACAGCAGAATCCAGAGCTCTGTTCTGTTCATGTGTAAGAGCCCGAGAACAAGCCTGGACCGACGGCTGGGAGTCGGGTTTAAAGGAAATGCTGCTGTGCTTTCTCTATAGGCCAACTGACGCAGAAGATCAAAGGAAGATGTGGGTATTATCATCTGAATTTTAGACTTAGAAGTCAAACTTTTGATTGGACATCGGAGTGGTGATGTGGGATTTCCCCACATCCGTTAAAACAATGTTGGTATTGCTTGTGCAGTATTTTCCTGCAGCAGTTACTCCAGCAGATTCTAAAGTATTTCCACCTATCTTTTCAAGTTTTCTTTTAAATGTAACCTCAGTGTTCCTCAATATAAAACAGAGAAGTCTCCTGGATACTTTTATTATACTGTAGCTTTATGTTTTTGACGCGGCGGATGCCTCTAAATGCTACACATGAACCCCTGTCTGCTGTTGCTATGGAGAAGAAGCCAGCCAGTGGTGCAAATCAGAGCTGCAGCAAATTCTGAATACTTTGATACAACAGTTGGGAACAAAACATTGCACTGTCACTGCTGAATTCATCCCAAAATGTCCCAAACTTTGACTGAATTGATTTTAAGCTACTGAATATATTTTTCTACAAAGCCCCATCTTCATGTTTTGCCTCCCCTTAATAGTGTACGTCAGCATTTTAAGAGCTGTGATTGGATGTTTTTTGCCCAAATGTACCACTTAGTCTCTTCGTCTTCCTCTGTCTCTCTCTCTTTAGTCTTGTTCTTCTGGCTGTGGTGGATGTGCTGCATGCAGGCTAATCCATCAGGACGTTATTGACATTGTAGCTTCTGTCGTCCTTACTGCTGCTACATCCAAGAGGCCTGCCCTCCTATGATAAAGCTGAAATCTCTTCTGACAGTCTTTGTGTGTGTGTGTGTGTGTGTGTGTGTGTGTGTGTGTGTGTGTGTGT